AAGGTTCATATGAATTGGACAATCAAGATGGAGAAAACTTGCCCATCAACTGAAACGTGGTACACCTCAAAAGATATTATTGCTGATGAATATCACCTGAGCTAAAAGTATGTGCTGCACTTTTTTTCCCTTTGTCTAGTTTTTGTCCTAATTAGGTTTTTTTGGCAAGGTTTTTAACTAGGCAGCAACAGAGAGCATACTACAAATAAAGCACCAATAGCAGCAATAAGACCTTTTATAACAAGGCATGCAAGCAAAATGACACTCCGGGATGGTTAGATAATCTTTGGCTCTATAGTAAAATTCACACCAGGAAGTTAAGTTTGCTATCAAACAAAGGTTACATGAACGTTCACAAGTGCAAACAACTAGAGGGTTGTTAGATAGTCCTTCGCTCGATAGCATAGGTTCCTGAGGTGAAACAAAATGTGTTACCGAGTGAAGGATTATCTAGCAACTCATTAGTAGGATCCTCGAATGTATAAGACTTCCAGTGTTCCAATTCGCATTCTTCACATTTGAACACTAGAGGGAATGATATGAGGATACGACAATAATGATTGCCTCGTCGATCAGAAAACGAAAACCGGAAACATAGTTATGCATCGAGACCGGGGACTGTGCGGCCAGTCCCGTAGAAATAAGTTGTACAAGTTAGCCACAAGTAATGGCAATTTCTTTTGTAGCATAACAAATGCTTATGTACTTTTTGAAAATGAAAGGAATTAAATGAAGTCCTTTTATTTCTATCTTGTTTCTTGTCTGAACGATGAATTAACTTTGTCATTTGAAAGTTAAACAAGTACTTCAAATGCTAGTGTCGTAATGAATAAGAGACGTCCTCTTCAAGAGTACCATAAACATAAGAGGGCCCTCTCTTACGAATACCCTCACATTAAAGGGTTGATTTTGGAAAAACGTATGCCCGGAATCAAAATGCCTTCGGGGAAAAATACACCCGAAGCGTTGCACAAAAAGATGCAAAAAGCAAACTTGCACAAATACCTACAAAAAAACTCACATCAAAGGGTTAATTTTGGACGATTTTGTGCCTGAAATACAGATGCTTTGGGAGGGGGGAACACCCAAGTCCTTGCATAATCAGACGCAAACAATAAAACTTGCGCAAAACACTTAAGCAAAAAAGAATGTGAAGGTTAAACCTTGCATAAATGTTCAAACGAAAGAACGGAGAAAGACTCATGCAATACTTGAGTAAAAGATATTTTTATTTACAATAAATGTGACAAAATAGCACAAGTACAAAAGCTGGGGACAGAAAGGAAAAGCTAAACTGCTACATCTCCGGAGCCCGGAGGAAGAGAAGTGTCCGCGCCCCTAGAGGAAGTAGGTAGATTCGCCGATGTCTCAACAGTTTGGCCCTCAACATCATCACCTTTCGGTTCCTCTTCAGTTCCCAAAAATTCAGAACTAGAACCAGAAGAACTAGGAACATCAGGCTCTGCCGAGGGACCCGCCGGGAGACCATTTTTAGCAGCCAACTCAAGCTCACGGGCCTTAGCAATTTCAACATCAAAATTAATGATACCAGTTTTGGCTTCCTCCAAGGTTTTTCTCCTCATGTTGTATATGGCATAAGTTTTCTACACAATGAGGGAAGCCGCTCAACGCTTAAGTTCTTCGTTGAGTTGAGTTACCTCGGTAGAAAGGTTTGTCAATGCGGATCTAATGGACTTGAGGCTAACGTCAAGATCAAGGACAATAAAGCTAAACATTTTATTGTGCTCAAGGGTCTTCTTATACTTCTCCTCCAATCAGGCATATTTCACCCCCGCAACAACAAGCTCTTCAGTCTGGGAATTCAAGGCTGCCTCTAAATTGGTCAATCTTTCAGCAGAGGTAGCTCACGATTGGATGCAGCAAGAACGACATTATAAACTTCAACCCATTTGGCTTTAGCCTGTTCAAATTGAACCCTCTGCGAGGTGATCTCTATGCTAAGGTTTTCCACTTCTTGCTTGCTTTGCTGCAAATGAGCCTCTAGTACAACTTCCTTAGTGGATTTGGCTTCCAGTTCTGAGAGGCAAGCGACACTTTTCTCCCGCTTTGCCAAAAGCTGATCCCGTGCGGAGGAAATTTCTTTCATCTCACAAATCAACCTCTGAAGGCCTTTGAAAGCAAGAAAGTTGGCCTACAAAGCAAGAAGGGAAAAACTCAAGATATGTTTAGGCAAAAATAAAAGAAATGACAAAAGAAGTAAGGAATGTACCGTTGCAGCGTTGTGCATGGCATTGTTCAACAAGCACTCTCCTAAGATAGCCTGAATCTTTTCCCAATCTTTCTCTGAAGCCAAAGGCTTCAGATAATTATCAAGTTCTACCGACTGGGATAACAACTTGCATCTAGTAGAGACCGAAAGAGTAACATTCATCCTCCCTTGCGGATCTTCAGAGGGGGCAGCATAATTTTGCCCCAAATTCCCATGAACTGGGGACTGGGGAATAGGAACACCTTCTTCTTTGTCAGGTGCAGACGGTGGAGATGATGCAGCAATTAATAATGGAAGAGCTGGGCAAGAAGGAGATGAAGTTGATGGCGATGAAGGATGAGAAGCAGCAACGGCAAATGTAGTGTTGGTTGTTAGGTGTTCGCCAACCAAAGACGGCAGGGATCCGGTACTTAGCCCCGCAGTACCAGACACAACAATTATGGCCCGAAAACGGGAATTGGCATTCTTACCATATCAAGTTCACCACAAAGTGCCGAGACATCGTCCTCGGTTGGTGTAACTAACTCAACAGATTGAGTATTCTGTTGAGTTGATGAGGATCGTCGCCTTCTACGTAGAGAAGATCCCCCATCACTAGCTTCTCCATCATCATCGATCATTACGGTGTCTATGACTGGCCTTGGAGGAGGGCTAGTCATCACAACTTTCAAAGACAACTCGGGGGATATAGTCTTCGCCCCCTTATTCTTTTTCCCGGCCGCGGAAGAACGTCGTCCTTTCGGTTGCTTGTTCTCCAGCCAGGGACTTTGTAATGAAACACTTGTACCCGAAGCAGGCCTAGAGACACTTGTTTGAGTGAGCGCCTCCTGAAGCAGCCTTGATGCATCATCAAGGTCAAAACGTCTTCCTCGGGGACATTTATTGAGTTCGCGGGTAGACCTGATTTCAAAGAAAAATTAGAAGGGATAAATCATTTTCTTCACAAAAAAGCTGAAAAAAGGTGAGTCTGAGTTACCATGATTTTTGGCCTTCCACCCATATTTGAGAGCCAATTCTTTCTATGTACAGGTTTTAGGCGTAGTGACATCCAAGATTTTCTGGACCCACTAGTCCAAGCCTTCAACCATAGGTAGAACCCATCGAATTGCTGAAACAGGAGAATGATGGAGAATCAATACGGATATGGAAGAATCCCTAATAAAAGAAATATGAAATATTAAACAAGAAGCTTATGAGTGCGGTTCCACGCTTCCGAAAAGTATGAAGCCATTGCCGGAATGACGTCATTGGTGGAAACTGCAACTGTTCCATCCACCTACGATCGTTGTCATCATCCATGCTCGATAACAGGGCATGGTGGCCACATTTTCTGAAATTTATCATTCCCCCGCGAAAGATTTTGGGGGAATAGTGATTCATCACATGATCTAAAGATAGCTCCTCTCCTGTCTCTTGGCACAAGCGCCGAAGACAAACAATCGTCCTCCACAAGAACTTACTTGTTCCAAACACACCTGGTAGCGAAGGCCGAACTCCGCAATAATGAAGTCAAGCTCTCCACTCAAAGAGAACGCACCCAAAGTAAAGGGATACATGTAAAAATATGTAAAACCCTCCTTGGATAGGGTCACTGTCTCTGTTAGATCAGGAGCATCAATTTCCAAATTATGGTAGCGACAGTCTTCCTTCACAATAAGAATACTGGAAGGACGGATGGAAGAAACGTATCTGCCAACAGCCCACTTGCAAGGGAGAGCCAAAGGGAATTTCTCTTCGAAGTCTTTTGTTGTAACAAGACTTCTAGGAATGATAGAATCCACCGTTGGAGGAGCAGTGTCCTCAGCTTTACTCTTGCCCTTTAAAGAGCTGACGTTCTTTGAAGAAGAAGCCATTTGGATGAAGGAAAAGTATTATATTTTCATTTGGATGAAGCCATTTGAAGAAGAACTCACCGTTATATTTTCATCAATGGCCCTCTTAATTAACATTAAAGAAGGATATGATCCGAGGACCTTATATCATTGTAAGGAAACGAATTTTCTGGCAAATTGATACTACCATCTATTCAAAGCTTTATACAATTTTATCTTTTTACCTTTTATTCTCATTATTGTTGCGCCCGAAGGCTTCGTTACCGAAATCTTTATTTCTGTCATTTCGCCTTCATATCAACGCTAAGTGTTATATATTTCTTCAATTATATTATTATTTCATAATCAAATTAATTCACTTGTCTTGAAATCACGTATAAATTCAACTGTACTGTTTTAAGGGTAAACAATATTAGTTCTCTCAACAATGTAATGCCAACTAGTGTAAGCAAATCACTCATGAGAGGTCTCGTCTTTCTATCAAGTAACTAGTGAAGGTTAGCCCGTACTAAACCCGGGCCCAACGGCTATTTAGTATTGTTATTAATATTATTTTTAGCGATAGATTTATGCCTTTGAGGGCTACTTACAACAGGTCCACCATCCTTTTTTGTAGAATAGAGTTAAATGTGTGAGGTTGTGAGCAATATGTATTTAGATGGATATTTTGGGTCCTTTGCCTATTCAACTAAAACTACAAATAGAAAATATAGAGTCGCAACATAAACACACACACCTCCACATGAGAAACTCTACTGAATTAATCAGATTCTAGCAAAATTGGAGCTTTTAAGCTAGTAAATAAAGAAAGAATAGACAAAATCACTAAATAACCTGTGATTTTATCTTAGAAGTAATATTAATTTTTTTGTCAGATTCAGAGCCATAGTTAAAGGCAATTATGTAACATGAAAATTTAAAATTAGGATGTCCGACTATGAATCTCACAACTTTTGTTGAATAAAGAGGAAACTAAACTGGAAATATGTTGTTACAAAATCATAATATTTCTGGTTAACGAGAAAAAAAACCAAGCCGAATGAACAAATTCATAACATCACCGAAGATAGAACTTGAGGTGAAACCTTTAAATGGTTGCACATGAATTATGAAATCAAGCACAAACTTTGATATTAATTCATATAAATGTAGGATCAATTTCTCCTCTACTTGTCCAGTATGAAGCCCTGCAGCCAACTCAGTCACTTGGTTCTAATGTATTCAGAATGTTTTCTTCAGGATAGTTGTCAGTGCTTGATGCAAGGATTGCATTTGTTAAGCAATTATACAATTGGAAAGGCCTTTTGCCATAAACGTATAAACTCTGTGATCCCAGTCCAGATATAATATTCTGTAGATTTTTCAGGCTGAGATACCACTGTGAGGTACAATTGTGCTTTTAACTTCCATCATATTTGCAACACTTGATATTTCAGGGAAAGCTATGATTTCGATGAGGGAAAGCAGAAGGCTACAAACTTCTATAAGATTGTAAATATAATCCTATCATGTTTGCAGTTTATAGAGTAGAACAATAAATACCGAACTGGTACATTAAGCTCCCATTATGTATAGGATCAAGGGCAGAGCTGAATCACAATTGTTCTATTGTGTAAAGTCTAACTACCTTGTATTTCTAAAGGGATTTTTTTCATACCTTAAACTGGTAATATCTTGGCTATAAAGATTACCCTATCAAATGAAATGAATAAAACAATAACAAATCATGAGAAATAAAGTTTCTCATAGTGAAACAAAATGAAAGGTGGTCTTAAAGAAACATCTATAGATGTACAATAATGTTATTAGGGTTATCTTAGAGGAACATCCATAGATCTGCAATAATGTTATTACTACCAGAATATAATAGCAAATGGTTGGTGACAAATGAACATTTTTTCTCTACAAAACGTGTTTGTTGAATTCCTGATTATAGAACTTCACATCTGTGGTATACCTTTTTATAGCAGACCAACAGAAGTCAACAAACATGCAGAACATTAGAAAGAATGGACTGTTGGACTTTTTCTCATTTGAAAGTCCATTAACCTTCAACTTTAACGGTACACTCATCGTAAAACCGTATATTTACCGAACATAATACACTTCAAAGAAGAAAGAAGTAGCAGAAATTCCAGTACAAAGAACAAGAAAAGGAAAGAAAAGTAGTATGTCCAGTGCAATCTTCAACCTACCTAGAAATAAAAAGAAATCTAGTTATCAGTTTTTCTATGCGATTATTATACTAATACTTCTAATATAATGTCAAAATCAATATGTGCTTCAATAAACAGATTCTTCAAATTGCCATTTAGTATAATAAGACACCTATGATGTAAGGATGAACAAACTCAATTAGTATGATGCTGACGCAAGAAGATAATACTACGGACGAAAGAGACCAAGCTTGAGTTAAAGCAGGACAAAAGAAAACAACACAGGCGATTAGGAAAATCTGCAGTAAAGCTATTACTGTCGAATATGAAAGAATATTGTTGGATAAGAGATAGGCTCTTTCAGACTGCAGATTAGACTTATCATGCTGATTCAACTATGTGATACAAAATATACTCATCAAGTGAAAGAGATTTCTGTTTCACTTTGATGATGGTGTCAGCAAATCGGTTCTTCAACATTGTAGGACGTAGCGCATTGCTCAGGGAAAGATCAATATTCATTTTTTTTTTTGATAAGGTAGAAAAGATCAATGTTCATAGGAGGATGTCAATCTATTTTCAGAAAATAGTTATCGGCAAATTAAACTTGAGTTCATTTTGAGCAAAAAAATGAAATGCTATAAAGAGAGCAAGCAAGATACTCATCGTCACCATATGTAGCAATAGAAGCACATGTTGACTTACTTGGTCTAGACCATAATTTTTTCTTAATAAAGGTTATGTCAACAACCTGCATATTATCGATATCAACATGTCAATAAAGAACATTAACGTTTTATTGAGCATGCTATTGGACAAACGTAAGAAAGTTTTGCAACTACCATGGTAGTATGGATCAGTTTTACATGAAACTGATGTCAAGGAGTTTAGATCAGTGCTAGTGATCTTGATCTTGTTCTAGCTTTCTTTCTGTTAGAAAATCTGAATCACAAAGATAAGTACAACTTTTTATTAGCAGTTGAAGATTTGGCACTGCAAAGCCACTGAAAAAATAACTTCAGTTGAGCGGGAAAAATGTTCAGTTGTTAAGCATATTGTCAAGCCCTTTAGCTGCATCAAAGTTTTCCTTTGTTTCAACAAAACATCATTAGGTACTCTATTCTTTATAGCTACCAAAATAAGAATGCAGCAGAGAACTCATACAATGACAGCAAATATACAGATTGTAGGATAAAATGTTAGTAAAGAGCAACTAATGCATTAATTTTGACAATCCCCTAATATTTATAGCTTAAAGATTGTCAATCAACTATAAGACAATGATATTATTTTATGAAATTTATACACTAAATACAGATCTGTGGTTTTTCCTTGGCCAAGTCTATTGAAAGGATTAAATTATTTCCAGTAATAAATTACAGTAAAAGTAATAAAACTTAAGTGATTCTTACCAAATCTAATGAGTGTACACCATAGTAAATCACTTTGAAAAGTTGATAATGACCTGAACTTAGTTATAGATTAAAGATCATCAAATTGTAAGACAATAATACTACTTTGTGAAATTTATATGCTAAATATAGATCGATGTTCTTTCATTGCAGCCAGAAGCAGAACACAAAAAACTTTTTGGCAGGGGGGTGTTGAGAATAAAATAGAGAACATGAATGGAAAATAGTATCAATTACTCAGTTTTACGATACTAACTATTAAATCCAACTATAATTCTACAGTTATCGCTTCATATTACAATTCACTTTGCTAATATGAACTATTTCTATAAAGAACCATGTAAATATGATTAGGCACTTTATTCTTTTTGGTTACCAGAACAAAAATACAGCAGAGTACTAATAAAACGACATCAAATACAATAACATAATTTGCAATATCCATTACTTCTTTTTTACTATAAAATTGCAAGTAAAGAACAAACAATGCATCAACATTGACAATCAACTAAACTTATGTATAGCTTAAAGATCATGAACCTATAATCCTAGTGAGGCAAAGCGGCTTAAGTTGAGAATTTAACGCAACTGCATTCATAACTCTCAGAAATGCCTTTGCTCTAGCAAGCCCTCACCCACTTGCCTTATCAGTCCCTAATTGCAACACGAAAAACCTAAGCTAATTGGTCCCCTTGAGGAACATATTGTACATATGTAATTTTGGACTATTTAGTAGAAATAAATAAGTTTAATCAAACTTATCTCTTCAGAAAATCATTATGAACTCCAACTAATAAATCTTTTAAAAATAATGAAATTTTCAAATAATGCAAACCTTTTGAAAATCATGCAGTAGAAAGCTTAATATCAATAGCGTATTATCTGAAAATCATGCTCGAACCCTCCCTTTTCAAGTCGATCCCTTGTGTTCTTGAATCAGATTCTAATGTCTAACCTTGTCGAAACAAGAATTTTGATTTTACCTTTGTAGTGTCAAACTATAGCGTTGGATCGATGTTGTAGTATACCAATTTTATTTTCAATATCCTGTGGTGAACGTCTGGACCCCATAATGTCTATTTCAAAGGATTGGGAAGCCAAACCGGTAGTTTATAATCACTTTCTTTTGTAATTAGATATTCGTCCTAGATTTTTCTGGACGAAGGAACAGAGAGTGATCACCGAACAATTTACTCAGTTTAAACAATTCTATGCAACAACTATTCCAAAAATAAAGAAAATAAGAAACCAAAATTCACCTTATAACAGTACGATCAAAGCGAATAAATTGTCCAGGAAGAGAGAAGATTGAAAGAGACAGAGGAAATTGGAAGAGGAGTTGAACACTGACAATTTCGAGGAAGAACAGTGTGAAGTAGAGTATAGATGTTGTTCGTTTGAGCGGTGTAAAGAATGTGGCAAAACTAAAGTAGGCTTAGCGCGTGACTTTTGTCAAAATATTTGCAATTTTTCCAAAATACCTCCGGACGACCCCAAGCTCCTTAGACTGTCGCATAATAATAATAATATAATAATAATAAGAGGAAAACTAAAGAGTTTATAGTCAAGAATAACTTTTACACTATCTCGTAAGTCTATGTCATGAGTTCGAATAAACTATTAATAATACTGTATGCACCTACTCGTCAAAAATCCCAGATTTGACGGCCCAAATTACCAACCGATTCTTTTTCATAAATTTAACAACCGATTACCAACATATTACTTTATACTTATCAAATTTTACAATCGATAAATTCAGTTCGTAAATATTGCGGGAGAAAATTGGCGCGTAATTTAGCGACATTTTATCAACATATTACTAACGAATTATCTACTAACAAATAATTTCGGTTAGTAAATTACCAATGAATTACAAATTCGTTGATAAATATTGCGGGAAAAAGTGGCGCCTTATTTACTAACAAATTGCAAACGGAACAAAATTCGCTACTAAAATTGCCAACGGATCCTCAATCGGTTGAATATTTTCCAACTGATTTTTGTTCCTTTTGTAAACTTTGCCAATTTATTTCGAATCCCTTGGTAAATAACCATTGAAATTAATAATTCATGGAAAAAGTGAAAACTTCAATTTTTAATTTTTTAGAATAATTAATATTTTAAATTAAATAATTTTTTTTTGGAAAGTTAGCAAAGTAATTGTCGCCTACAGTTAAAGGATTCATGTAGCTCTAATGATAGGCTATAATTACGTATTTTAGTCGATCATTACATTTCAATTCATTGCACTTTAGTTGAGTTTGAGCTTTAATTGCTAGTGTTTTGCATTAATGGTGTGTTTTATGCCTTGTAGGAATGATTCCGAGCTATATAGATATTATGTAATGAATTCAAGTGATTTCAAGCTTTGAAGTCTGAGTAAAAACCCAAGGAATCAAGTCGGAATCGTGTTCGGGGATCAATGGATGATAGAGCAACGAAACAAAGAATCGAGTAGGCATATTGCATACTGTCTAGTAAAATACACATAACGTTTTGCTCATAACTCCATTTAGGCTCCATAATATATGGTTGGAAAGCTAACCCAAAGGGCTACCACTTTCATGTTTTACGTTTTTCCAAATTCCAAACAGAAAAGAGTGAAAAGTGCGTGGCAATTGCACGTCCATGCACTGGCCGCGCAAATGGGACAGAACACTATGCAAAATCCGCGGTCAGGTCCGCAGTTGAATCCGCGGCCGCGGACGTCCTGACCTGGAAAAGTGTCCTTTTTAGCGTAGGAGAAGGTATAATTATTTGGGCCCGACTCTACTTGGTATATATACATGAAAAAATGGTATTTTGAGCACCTTTGACATACTTTTGGCATAATTTAGACCTAAGGAGGCTAAGGAGGCCGGAGATTCGACCTAAGGACGCAAGAACACACTAGGAGCAAAGCGGAGAATTCTTCTACGAGTTTTTTACTTCCTTCTTCCTATTTCCATTATTGGTTATGAATTCTAGTATTGTAGTTTTGCATACTATTATGAAAAGCTAATTTGTTATCTAGGGTTTTGATGGAACCTATTGGAGGATGATTTTCCTGTTACATTAATATAGATTTGCCTTAGTATTTTTTTCTATTTGTTCAACTACGTTATTATTGTGGTTTATTGAAGAGCTTCAATTGATTGTACCTATTTAGTGTGTATTACTGGGGAGAGAGTGCATATTTAGGTAGTTGTTGAACAACATCACTCCTAACGTATATGAGGGATCAATACAGAGGGTTTAAAGGTGGGATTAGGGATAACGAAACCTTGGGTACGATCCGAGTGAGCCGTACTTAATGCCAGTTAGCGTAATTCGGGAGATTATGTCTAGTAAATTGTGGTAGTTACTCGGGAGAGAATTACGACACCCAAAGTACTCATGATCGGTAGAGAAGACTTAGGCAAATTTATAGAAAACGTAGCGGAAAGGATTCTGATAATAGGGGAAATCATAACTCTAGACCTCCTTAATCTTGTCTCTAACACATAGTATCTTTAGATGTTAATTTACTATTTTAATTTATTAGTTAATTAGTTAAACACAAGAATCTTATCTATAAGTTAGGAATTGTTCAAGCTTGTCTTCTTGGTGATTGTGAACAGCTATAGCTAAGCCTTAGTTCTCTGTGTGATCCGACTCCGGACTTCTAAACCGGATTATATTTTCAATAACCGCTTAGTCCTTTTTATAAGGCATAGTTGAGCGTGATCAAATTTTGGCGCCGTTGCCGGGGAACTAACGGTGTAGCTGTAGGTGTACATATTGTTAGGTTTCAAGTTTGAATTTTTATTTTATTTTTGTATTTGATTTTTTTTTAATTTTTTTGTTTTACTTGTTGATTTGAGAACATGACATCTTGGAATTATGAGAGTTTTGATGTTGGTAATTCTACTTTTGATCCTCTTTATGCCTATTGTGGAGGAAATCACCAATTGCAAAATTGTCAAAATATTTCCGAGAGCGAATTATGTGCACCAACTCAATCTTATGTGTGATATGTGTGGTGGTTAAGATGGTCACTTTCATGGTTGTGATTATATGTCTTATCATCTCCCAACCCCTTACTATGATGGTTTTACTTTTTCTGGTGAAGTTAATAGAATCAAAGAACCCTGGGAAGCTGACCTGAAGAAGATTGAAGGTATGTTAAAGCTGAACATGGATATGTTAAAGTGCCATGTAGAACAATATGATAAGAAACCACGACAGATACAAAGGTAAGAGGCAACTATTCACCACTTGGAGGCTCAAGCGAATAAATTAATTGAACCTTGTAAAGCGCAACAAGTTGACATTGTGGATAGTAGCTAATATGAGCATGAACTGACTTCTTCGTGCCAGAGAGTCGGGAATACACATCTCATTCAAAAGCCAAGAAGTGCAGAATACTACATTATTTTATTGGGCTAGTCAGATTCGTTCCACCACCCCAGGAGCATGATCACAGAGCAGAGTCAAAACTTGGGGTCCAATTCATAAGTTCAAAGTGGAGGCAGAAAGTGATTCGCGTCGTGCCGCGACGTTAAATCAAGCGCTTGGTGGGAGACAACTCAGCTTTACTGCTTTCTTTTTTTTAATTGTAATATGTTTGTAGTGTCGATTTTTAATTTTCTAGGAGCATGGAAAGCAAAGCTATTGGAAGGATGTTACAGCAAACCAGCTGGTTGGAACTAAGTGTGAGGTACCCGCACGAAGGACCAAGCCATGTAAAAGGTTTAAGGACCCCCTATTTGTATTTAACAGATGTGGACCCCACCGACTTACCTGAACGCGGCCACGTAATTCTACCGCGGTCTGCATTTTGTTACCTGATGAAGAACAACTTCAAGCATCCAATCGCGGTCCGCGAAATATTGAACGCGGCCACGGAATGCACCGCGGACCGCCAAACTATGGACGCGGTCGCGAAAGCTGAAGGGTATTTGACAGTCCAACTTCAGAGAGTTGGCATTTTGCTCTTTTCAATTACGCGCCCGCGAACAAAAAGATGCGGCCACAAAATGCTCACGCGGACCGTAAAATTTTGGGCGCGGTCCGCGAACTTCCAACACTTATCCAAATTTATCCTTTGTTAATTTGCTACACTGCACAACCAATTCCTATATACATTTCACAACCAGTTAGTCCAAACTAATGCCTAATCTTGAAAAAGAAAATCAAAAGAAAGAAAACACATGGGTTGCCTCCCAAGGAGCACCTGATTTAACGTCGCGGCACGACACATGTTACCATCATTCACTTGAAATTGATCAATGCCATAACATGGCCATCATCAACCTTACCAAGGTAGTGCTTCACTCGATGCCCATTGACTCTAAAGAACTCGCCATTCTTGTTTTTCAAATCTAGAGCACCAAAGGGAGTTACATACACCACTTCAAAGGGACCACTTCATTTTGACTTTAGCTTTCCCGGAAACATACGCAACCGAGGGTTGAATAAGAGAACAAGGTCACCTTTTTTGAATTCTTTGTTACGGATATACTTATCATGCAGGTAATTCATTTTGACCATCAAAATGATAATAACCAGAAATCTCAGAAGTAGTTAACCATGCAACCCAATCATAGGCGGTGGGACTCTCCCACTTAACTTGAAGCCACTGATACACAATCTCTGGAATTCACCAGTATTCTTTATCTCATATTGATATAGATCTAGCACAACCATCCTGCCGAGTTCTTGAAATCTTTCTATAATACCATTTATGAATACTTTGAATCGTTAACCATGTTCACATGTCCGACCCCTTCACCAGATAGGCCGTAGGATTCTTCGGAGAGGCTTCACCAACCACGCAACCGCTGATCTGCTCACAGGAGATGACCCACCTGAGCCCGTGCTCATTTACCAGCTGCACAAGTCCATTCACTCCTCCTGGACATCAACTAGATGTACGACAATATCCTCCAATTCAAAGTTATGTTGTAACCTCCTTCATATCAAGCAACTCCTTTCCGTCTTATCAAATCTTTCGCTGTATAATAGCCGATATTTCAAATCATGTCCGTAGACCCAGCCACTGAATCCACATACTGCTTTGCCACTCTCCCACTTTGGGCAGACTCACTTCTTTAAGTAATTACTCGACCTCCACTTCTTACACCTGGTCTTCTAGAAGTTTAACCATCGCATGACACTTCCCAATCGTCCTTTCTCATCCTTTGTTGCTCGGTTATTGCCTTAAATAAAATCTATCTTCATAACACTTGAACCCACCAATCGCTACTAACTTTAAACTTTTCTAAAGATCATCGTTCTCAAGCCATCAACATTAGAAATACACATTAATCCCTGAACCACCGCACCCTGCGATATTTAGCAGTCGCTTTTCCAATATTATTTCATAATATCTTACCCCAAATGCGAATTGTAGAAGACCATAACACTGGCGAACTTAACATATTCAATCAAGGATAACGATACCACGTCGCAGATGAAAATT